AAAGGTGCAGCACTTGAGCCAAAATGACTCCCTCTCTCTCTCTCTCTCTCTCTCTCTCATGCACGCACGCACGCACTCACTCACTCACTCACTCACTCACACGCATGCACACACCTACCGACTGAGAGTCACACGGACACTTTTCCGCAAGGTTACCACAATCCATGCTGCACATGCAAGATACTAGAATCATACTAGCACGCTCAACCCTGAAGCCGCACTCCTGTTGCAAGCACTGGCTCCCGGACGCCCAAACCCTGTGGTGCGATACCCGATACCCGGCCTCCTCAGCCCGATGCAATACGGAACTGTCACTCACTGAGATGCTCGCCTCGACTAGAAAAGATCGCTCAAAAAAACAATGTTGCCTCAGCTATCCGACCCTTTGGAGCAATCGAGATAAGCAGTCGAAACGAAAACCAATTAAGAAAGAGGGAATTGCTGGAAGAAAGCAGCCATTCTCCACCGTCTTTCCGGTTCGGGCCACTTCGCTACTGGCGGGGGTTTAGGGAGGAACAACCTTTTCGAGACTCAGAGGACAAGACAAGTTGAACTTCAAATTTGAGGAACCACGCTGAACTTCAATAGGCTTTAAAGTCAAGGACGTCAACCGGCCATTGATGAAGTGTAATGCGCATCATCGAATTGCAGTATAGTCACGGAATGGTCTCGAATCAAAGATTCTGCGTAAAACAGTTCTTGGTAAAGTTGCTGCAGGGCCCCATTGAATTTCAGTTGGGCTCACTGAACTTCCTCGAAATCAAGCTTGTTAAATTCTAGAAGCGCCGGGGTTGGAGTTCAGGAGATGCCGGCAAAAGCCATCTGCCAAGGCACATCCACTATGACGGAGCCAGGGGAAAGGCGTATCTGGATGAGGGACCTGTCTCAGTTCTTGTCACATTGAGGCGGCCAGTCAAGAGACAAAGAGTCACACAACCAAGCTTTGCACTTGTTGACTCCCAACGTTTCCGCCAAAGAGTTTGTAAAGTCCTTAGCTCGTGACAACCACGCGCAAATGTAAAGAACAAAACCATAGGCTGGAATGCTTGATTCAACAAAAACACTGCTTCGTCAAAGGATGACAGCTCCCCATCAAGCTTGAAATGCATGTCCAGGACGGGTATTTCGGCTGCCTCTAACAAAGCAGCACACTTGCAACATGGCAAAGAATAAGGACATATGAATGCGAGCATGTAGACACCGGCTCCAATGCCTGCGCTCCCAATAGGTTCATGATGCTCGGAGGTGGTTCCTTGATGGCCTTCACATTCACAACTCGTGAAATAGCTGTGGTAGTTCGACCCGACCGTGGCCGGGAGTGAATCGCAGCTCAACGTGGAGCGAATATGCAGAAGTCCTGTTTCAGCTTTCGGACTTCCCTTCGCAAAGTTGCCATTTCTTTGGTCATTTTCTCCTTTCGACAACATGGCAGGTACTGAGCAACCCACAAATTCAGCGCACCGAAGCTCCTTCACGTCGACTCGCTCCATCTGCTGCTTGTTGGCTGCGTGCAGTGACTGCGCCAGGAGCCTTGCGTGCTCCTGAAAACAAAGATGAACATCACGAGTAGTGTAGCGAGCACTGCACTCAGAAATCGTCATGCGATACCTGCAGATATTGTCCTCCTTTAGGTGATGAATTTCTTTCTTCAAGCTCTGGATGTCATTCTCCTGCAAGAAAGCGACGGTCTCGGATGTTGCACATTCAGGCTCACATACCGCTTGGGTGCTGGCCTCTTTTGCAGATGGTTGCACTTCTGGCTCTGGTAGTTGCTTGAGGCGTTCCTGCGTGCAAGCAACAACACTCTGGAGTCTTGATCAGCTTCAGGAAAGGCCTGCTTCAAATTTTCCATTTCTTGCTTCAGATTCTCGATCTCTTTTGTCCATCCCATGGCCTTGTCAGACGTCTTATCTGCACTGAATTTGTCTTGTCACGATCGTGCAGGCTGCCTGCCTCTAAGGTTTTACCAAGTGCTGAGGTAGATCCCGTGGTGTCCAACCTAGAATTACGGCACTGCAAAAACATGTCAGAGGAGCACCTTGCCATGTGAAAGTAGGGCTTCTGCTCCGCTTCCGGTATGGCATGAGGCATAGCAGCCACTAGGACCTCCAGGTAGTTTGGCGGAGAGTCAGGGGCAGCTTCGGGCTTTGTCCTGAGTCTCAGACGTCGCCACCCTCGCAGCCTTCTGGGACTTTCAACTCCATTTCGAAGACAGCAACGAATTTGTCACCCGGAGCACAGTCTTCAGGGACCACAATTTCGACCAGGTCCTCCTCAGTCTCTGCAATGGACCCCGAAGCTGTTCGGCCCTCCGCTGGAGCGGGGGGAGTGGCAGCGGCGGCAGCGGCTTCCGGAGCCGGCTGAGCCGGGCCTGTCGCCTGGGTCTCTTCCTGCGCTTCCGGCTCCGGCACCGGCTCAGTCCCTGAAGGCTCCGGTTCTGATGGCTCCTCAGCCATGGCCTGAAAAGGCAAACACGAGTGGTCCGTTCCAGAAGGAAGTCGGAAATGACTCCACGATGACTGGCCTTGCCCTTCTTCCTGGCACTTGCAGGCCTTGAGTGCCTCGAAGACTAAAGTTCACACAGAATGCCGCAGCAGCAGTGTTCATGTTGAAACCAAGCATCGATTTATCCGTAGCTGTGGTGCCCGACGCAGGCCGAGAGTTGGTGACGCGTCCTGCACGGGAGCACGGCAATGTTCCCAGGCAAGTTTGCTGCAAAGCCACAGCCTTCTGGGAGCAAGTCCATGTAGATGACTTCACCAGGTTGGCACTCGTTTGGCACGACCAGCTCGATGTCTAAGCCATTCACCTAGCATGCCACGGAGCACGAACCCATTCCAAACAACTCTAAGCCGGCCTCGATGACAAAAACGTCGCCTGGATAGCAATCCTCGCAGGTCAGGGGCATTGTGAGCGGCTCTCAAGTATCACAGCTCAAAAAGGCAACACAGCAGGGGGATCATCGTTAAGCCAAGTTTCATCCGGAATCGTGATTTCCAAGATCTGCAAAACAACACGACATGAAGAAGCTTGAGCCTCTGGTGCCTGTATAGGTTTTAGGCCTCCAAGCCGGAGCGTGGCGCCGCGGAAGTTGCAGAGGCCGCTGAGGCGGCCGTGGCCGCGGCAGCGGCGGCAGCGGCTTCGCGAGCAAGCTGCTCTTTTGCAAGCTCCTGACAAAGTGCGTTTTTTCAAGTGATGCCCGCCGGCCTGGACCGGCCTGGCCTGCAGGATCTTCTTCTTGACGGCTGAGGCGGGTCTTGAGCTGCTCTTCTGCTTGCTGCTCAACTCTTTGGCTGGGTATCCAGCACCCTTCGGAGCGGCACTATGCACGAGATTGCACGAGCTACGAATTTGCGACACCACCGGTGCCACATGTCGATGCCCTTCAGGCCTCTCGCACATCCATGTAAATCACCTCACCCGGCGTGCACCCTTCCGGGACAACCTGGATGTACAGAACACATGCTTCGACTCGTGGACAGGTCGTTATGCTACTTGTCGAATTGCAGAGCCTCATGTTGGTCCTCTGATTTGCTTAGCACATGCTCTCGGCGGGTGTTGAGTCCGACAAATCATGCTCAGCCATCACTCTTCCTTC